TTTGTCGATATCGCTAACAACTTAAAAATATTTGTCGCTTAGTTGGCGATTTTTCGAGTAGTTTACGACAATAGCGAGAGCGAATATCGTTATAACAAGTACACCGAATATTAAAATCGTTAGAATTATCGCAAAGTCTTCTTTGCGATCCGAAAATCGTTATACTAGTCTTAGAGAATAGCGAATATCGTTAAAAATATCGTTAAGTCTTCTTTGCGATCCGAAAATCGTTATACCATTTTAGAGAATAGCGATTATCGTTAAAAATATCGTTAAGTCTTCTTTGCGATCCGAAAATCGTTATACCATTTTAGAGAATAGCGATTATCGTTAAAAATATCGCTAAGTCTAATTTGCGATCCGAAAATCGTTATACTGTGCTTAGAGAATAGCAAAATCGTTAAAATTATCGTTAAGTCATTATAACGATCCGAAAATCGTTATAATACGATAGAGAATTGCCCTGCAGTTATTTTTTACTGAGATCGATTGGCCAGTGGATTTGGTGGCTGCTACGTTAAGTGCCGTTTTTGAGTGCCTGTTAATGTGAGGATCACGAAACAGGCAGTTAAATTTAAGGAAATTTTGATAAATTATCTTTCATTTTCTCGACTTTCTTTTAAATTTTTATTTAATATTAGATGAAATGGGGTCTAACTGCGAAGTGGAAGAAAGGAGAAACGTAAATCAGCTGTTCTAAACGTAGATAAGTAGATTCTCTTAAATTACTCTTAACAATGTGGCGCACAAAGGTTCATTCAAGGCTCTCCTCAAGCTCATGAATATAAAATAATGGCTTTTTACCACTATATTTACATATTATTGTATAAGAAAATAAGTGATCTTGTAAATCAGCTGCTTTCTGTTTGTAAAAAGAACAGATGTCGCTGTCGAAAAAAAAATGGTAACCAGCGCTTTGACACCTGCTAAGTTTAACAGCCATATATGTAAAACATAAAACAGACAGTTAAGAAAACGAAATAGTGTTTAAAAAGAAGTTAAATTTTAACAGGCCTTCGAAAACATGGCCCCAAATCCGTTAACTGAAATGGCTTTTTATGAATTTCTACCTATCGGAGATATACGAATTAGCCTATATTCCGAAAATGAATATTTTGCATTGTAATCACCTGCTGCTAGAAATCTTTAACCTAGATTATTAAGAAATCAGCGAGTTTTATTATTATTATGATTGGCGCTTTGTAACCGCTGAAGCGATTTTCGGTCGGTCTCCTCCTCCAATTTGTGGTTTTGCGTCTTGATGTTTTTCCAACAAATGGAGAGAACTACAAGGTGCGGCCGTCCTGTATAAATGTTTGATGCTGTACATTTTTCTTGTGATATTTGTAAATCTCATATAAAAAAACTTTCTTAATTTTTTTAATTTTTTTTTAGCTTAGCGCTCTAAACGTATTTTAATGCCACTGGATGAAAGTTGTCATGGTTTCACATATTTATATTAAACCGCTTCAGACTAAAGCAAAAATTGCTAAAAATCAAAGAAAAACTTTGATTTGCTGGATATTCTCATTTTTAGCTATGTTGCGATTACGCCACAATTATGCAGGTGTATCCTTCGAAAATAGTGCGCCATTTGGAAAAAAAAAATTACAACCGATATTTTTCTGAAGCTTATTCAATATGCTTATCGTATATTTCTTGCTTTTTGTATATATATATTTGTTCTTTTTTTAGTTAATTTTTTCATTTACAAATATATTTAATATTCATTGTTAGTTTTTTTAAGATTCTTACTTAACAAACTCACATGCAAAAAATATTGCTTAAAAAAAATTAAAAAAGAAAAACTAAAAAATGTTCAAGATTTTCTCGTCATTCATAAGTCGCGGCACTTTTTAAAAACTCTCTAATTTTTTTGTTTGATATATATTTACTTTTACCAACACCTACTTTCTATTTAATTTTTTATTAAAATTTCTATTAATATAATTAACCAAAAAATCAATGTGTTGAGAAGAGTGATCTTAATAAAATTAGCACACTGTATCAATTAATGCAATTAATATATAAATTATTTATGACGAAATAGTAAAAAAAAACGTATAAACGATCATTTCTGGTAATCGCTGTTTTATGATTGGTACGTCAATCATAAGTCAATCAGAATGAAATTTAGGTGCAAAAAAGCACAACTAATTTAAAGAAAAAATATATACTTTAGCAATGTGTTAGTGCATGTTTTTATGTACATATATAGATGTTATTTAAAATTTTTTTTGTACAAACATTGGTAACGCATAAGAGCATTGTATAAACTTTTTTTCTCATAAACAATTTTTTCTTCAACTACACTTTGCAAAAATATGTAATTTTTCAGAATTCTACAATAACAACTACTTTTTCACTGCAACGTCAACATTGTTTTAGTATGAAATTTATTTAAGCTGCAAATCTCTGTTCCACGCAAAAACGAAATTAATAGTAATAAAAATTTTAATCCATCAGCGTGCCGCAATACTTAAAAATTCATTGTAAAATTCCATCCTCTCATTTGACTAAAATAAATCAAATAAAAACTTTGCTTTAATGAAGATTTCATATTGGGTTTCAGAGTTATGGTACCGTGATGAGAGACACAGAGAGTTCAAGAGAGAGAGAGAGAGTGTGTAGTGATTGATACAAGAATATAAGCGCACGTGAAAAAAATTATAAATGTTAAAAACTGGACGAAAACCACAATTATCACTCTTGCAATGTTGATTTTGAAATGTATCGACAACGAAATAGTTCTCTAAATACGCAGAAACCTTTGAAAAATTGAAAGCAAAGCAAAGTTAAATAGTTACTTTATATGAGTATTTAAATAATAAAAAGAAGAGCGCAGCATAGGTTGAATATATCACCATGCTATTTTTTATTGCAACTTGAGAGGATTGAGTCTACAAACAGTTCACTTTTTTCGCGTTTAAACTTTTTTCATGCAACAAATACCAAACTGTAAGAAGCTTCAAATGTAAAGAGAGCGCCTCACTATTAGCCAAGTTTAAGGTATTGTCGATAAAATCAAGTTAAAGAATCGCATGGAAATGTCATGAAGTAACTTTGGTTCAACGAGTAACAGTTAAATCTGATGAGTGGTCAAAAATCACGATTTCTTGTACTGTTCAATACTGTTTTTTTTTTTTTTTTTTTTTTAATAAATAAGAGAAATGCGGCATCGACTATAGAGAAATCGCAAATCGAAGCTTATAAAAAAATTAAAACTTTCCAAAAAAAAATAGAAAAATTACATTTTTCTACTTTTTCTTGCTTAATAAATCAAGATGTGATTTATATTACAGACGCATACAGTTTCGGGTTCTAATAAGAGAGCAATGAGAGACAACTATTCACCGCAAAGGAAGCTTAGTGTGTTGAAATTAACTAAAATATTGTTTAAATTGCACCACGTTTGAAATAAATAATATAACTAAAAAACTAAAAATACAACTTAACGTTGGTCAAACAAGTCTGATTGATTGATGCATTGGAATAAAAAGATTATAATTTGGAATGACTGAAAGCGATGATTTTCTCAGGGTGGAACATTAGTTGGATCTATTTTATAGTCATGTGCTGGTTGATTGGAAACTGCTTTTCTTCGCACATCAATATAATATAATTAAAATAATTTAAAACGCGAGAGAACGCCTTACGCTGAAAAATTACTAGTCAGTAATTCTGTATCCTGTGACTCTCAACATTTTTTCAAAACAAACGTAGTCCACGGTTTTTCGAATATGAACATGCACTTGGGGAGATTTAAATTCTCTGCACAGCGGCGACAGTAACTTTATTTATTTATTTAATAATTTAAATAAATTTTCCTTAAACGGTTACTGACTATACTAACACTTAAGATATATGTATCATGCTTTTTATGTTTTCGAAAAAAATTTTTTTTTTTTTCATTGAATATTTTAAATTAAGCCCTAAGTCATACTCACTGAAACTGATTAAGATTTTCAAAAATTTATCAAATATATAGTACATTGTATTTTATTTACAATCCTTTACTTAACCCCTGCCAGAAAACACTTTTCTTTAATTATCTAGCACGCTTCACAGACACGTATACCATCACAAACAAAAAGGTACAACCAGAATTTATTTCAGTTAGAGCACGATAAGCACGTAATATCAAGTGGATAATTAAAAATAATTACTCGGAAGAGTTTATCGGACGCTAATTTAGTAGCTAAATGCCAAATACCAATTTCTGCCTGCTCAATATACACACCGCATACCGGCCTACCGCAATTATCATGAATGCCATCGAATTTGCATAGTACAAATACACACATATACACGCACATGCACGGCACGCTAATAGCCGTTAGCGCTTATCACACGTCACTTGGTTACAAATTCCCACTGAGGCGTGGATGAGAAGGCGCATAGATGCGCTAGGTGCCGTGAAGCTACCAACGAATTTCAACGCATCATAAATTCACCAAAATGTAGAATCTTTGCTTCCAACCAAGCAGAGGTAGAAAAATACATACCGAAGCAATTACCTTAGAGAAAAATATTTTATTTTCACTACGAAATTGTTTTGTGCTACACTGCGGCTGTGCTGAAACGTGGTGCAATAAAATGCTTAAAAAAAATATTTATATTTATAAACACATATATTTGTATGTCGAAAAAAAGAATATCTAAGTAGGTAAGCTGGCGCTGCAAAATTAGTTTACACGCCGACAGAATGGTACAAAAGAAGAAAATGGAAAAATACAAAGACAAGAAAATACGATTGTTTATATATATGCACGAATGTGGGAGAAAAGGTGTAACAGCAACTGGCATTACATTGAAGAAGAATTAAAATGTTCACCGCCATGCACAACAGAGTCCACCTTAGCCATATCACGGACCGTAGAGTGAGCTTTCGCCAACTGGTAGCAAAATAGATGCTTTCAACAGCAAATAACTAGAGCACGCACAATGCACATTCACACAAAAGTGATAAACAAACAAGCCACATAAAACAAAAGACTTACCCGAAAAGAAGTAGAGTCAGCAGTTCACTACACTGGCGCTGTATAGCTAACAAACGGCACGCTGTGGGAAAGGACGCGGCACTAACACACTTGCTTGTGGCTTTTTAATCCGCGCACGTTCAACGGTGATATTTTACGACAAGCACAGAGGGCATATAGCTTAGAGGACACAAGACAGACAGGAGAAACACAAGCAGTCTTAATGCTGCGCGACTCGAGTGTCCTCTAGAAGAAAGAAGCAGCAGCGACAACAACAACAACAGTCTAAACGACAACACGTTGCACGCGTTTCACTTGTGTGACATGGATGTATGTACATAAGTATAGTGGACGCAGTGGTTGTGAAGGCGTTTAATACGTGTTGGTATGCCAGTCAGGTGTTGCAATGAGCAACGAGTACATCAAACATTTTACGAGCCACCTTCACCATAAGCACTGTCACTACACACTAAACTGTAATATGTATGAGCACAAAAATGTTTGTTTATATATATGTAATTATGCCACCATAAATAGGTATATTATAATTGAAACTCTAATGCAGGATTTTGTGGTTTTGTTATTTTTGAAAATCACTTGACTTTTTAAATCTCCAACAATAACGCGCACAATAATCAATTTTTCCAATACAAAATGTACACAACTTTACGTAGCATTTAAATGCTGCAAAAAAACTCCAACAAATGTTTTAATTGTCAACACATTTGATTCAAGCGACAAACGCACCGAGTATGCCGTTATGGTACAAAACCCGACTACACACGCTTTAAAAGACCGCATGCAATTTATTCCATCCTTCCTGCCGAAACTGAATTATTAAAATTCAGTAAACGCTTAATTATTATGACCAAAAATGCAAGCTTCACTAAACGCTCATGCGCTGCCGGCTTAGCAAAAGCTACCACAAGCTAATTGCAGCGCTTAGCTTAGTACAACATTTCCCACACTTATCAAAATTGGCTGCAGCCAACGAGTATTGGTTTCACACCTTAGGAAACAAATCACTAAGCCGCACCTCAATTGTTTCCTGGATACGATCAATTAATCACGTTATTAAGCGGAAAAAATCATTTATGCGACAATAAAGCCACTAAATTATACGTAATGAGAACACGTCGCTATGTGGGCCAAGCACTACAGCCACAATGCGAAATAAACACTATACACAGGGGCGAACGACTAGTAGCTACGACAACAACGACGACTTTGGATACCAACGCACTATAAACGCAATCAAACCGAACCGCACAAAAGTTCCTTTGAGACTGACTAGCAAGTACAAGACGAACGATTGGAGCGTGTTTCAGTTTCATTTTAATAGCAGAAGCATCGGGTTGGTGACGATTGGACAGCTGGAGCTGTAGCAGCAGAAGTATTCGTGAAAGAAAGGCAGCAGCAGCAGCAGCAGCTGTAGCGGCGTACGTTGACAGAAGCAGCATGGGCACCACCCGATTGTTTTGTGGCTCGTTTGATTTCTAGCAAATACGAAAGCAGCATAGCAGCAAGTGCAAGCATTTTCACAATATCTATGCAGTACAGCGCAGCGTCATGCAGCGATGCTGCGACATGAGGAAGTTGACGATGACTGCGTTTACGAAGTTTCGCATTTGTATTAATCGGTGCTTCGTATGTTGAGAAAGAGCGTAAACACAAACAACACTTACAAAGGCAACACAGCAACAGTAACGAGCTCTGCAGTTTCGTTAACACTCGCTGGCACGACATCGTGTGAGCGCCGGATGCTGGCACTCGTTTCCCATTTAACACAAACGAATGTAGAGCGGAAGTGAGCGCCACATGAACTCTCACAACAGTGCTACTCTTTGACATACATTTCCGTTTGCCGGCTTTGAACAAAATGAGCGGCTACTCTATGCACTACAGCGGAAGAACAAAATGGCAAAGAAACGGTAATTTTGAATTTTTCTTTGAAAGTAGTGCGTCTTTTGGATGTGTGTCGATAATTAAATTTATTAATTGCAATCGAAATGATCCAATAAATCTAAAAATGTGTGAATTTATTGCGTGTGAGAATATACATATAAATACATATGCAATGTATTGTGCTCTAAAATAGCATAGCTTTCGTTATAATTTCGGGTTTATTTCGCTTTAAAATGTTTTCATATTTGGCGATTAGAATAGCTTTGCCGCCATTTTGATCGTGAATATTTGATTATTAAAACTTTTAGAAATTAATTTCCGATTGTGATCCCGTAAAGCCCTCGGTGCGCAGTTTTTCTGTCAATCAATTGCGTGGAAAATATCAACACGCGCACCGCCAATTTCAAATTATTGCTTATTATTTACTTAATTTGACATTATTAAATTATGTTTTATAAAAATTTTTTTATATTACTTATTTATTTATTTGTTTATATTGTTTTACTTTATTTTAATTTTTTCTTAAATCTTTTTATTTATTTCTTTATTTTGTTTAATTTAATTTTAGGATATTTCTTCATCTTGTTTTTTTATTATATTTATTATTATATTTATTTATTTAATTATTTTTTATTTTATGTTACTTTATTTTTTTTTTGTAAATCAACTTAATATTATATGTACTGTTTTACTTTTTTTTTATTTGTATATTTTATTTTTGCGTTATTTTAATTTTTATATTTTATTTGATTTTGTTTAGTTTTGTTTCATTTAATTTTCTTGGTTTTTTTATTTTTAATTTTGTATTTAATTTTATTTTATTTAATAATTTTCTTTTATGAAATTTAATTTAATATAAGTTTACTTTATCTTATTTCATTTCATTTTATTTGTTTATTCCATTTTAATTTTATTTTTGTAGTATTATTTTTATATTCTTTAAATTTAATTTTATTTATTTTCCTTTTTAACTTTTTTTTGCAGTTTCTTTATTTAACTTTATTTATTTTATTTTATTTTTTTATTTTATTTCATTTTACTTTTCTTATTTTTTTACTTCATTTGATTTGTTCCTAATATTTTATTTTATTTTATTTTTCTTATTTGTTTACTTCATTTGATTTGTTGTTTATATTTTGTTTTATTATTTATTTCTTTTTCTTAGTTTAAAAATTAGTGAATAAAAAAAACTGATTATTATTTACCTTTTATAGCTTAAAATCTGGCAACTCTTATTGCAAAATCTTACCCAATTTCATCCCGTCATAAAGGACCACAAGCCAAACAATACCGTTATCGTTTTTACCATTCAAATTACCGCGAATGAAACGAAAAAGTATAAAATTTTGATATCATCAGATGAAGAGATGATTTGCACAATGGTATGACCCAATAACAATAAATGTGGCCAATTCGACGAACATCGAAACAGAACGAGATGGCAATGAAACGGAATGGGTCACAGCAATGGAATGCAATACCGCAAAAATAGTGAACAGCGATGCTGATGAAATGAAAAGAAAACGCGAGATATCAAACTTTGCTCGCTTTTCTTGTTGTTGCTGTTCTTTGTTTAAACAAACACAAACGCCGAGAGTAAATTACGAAATTTCTTCGATTTGCTTTTGCTATTACGCATACAGCTTTCACTATTTTTTTTTTTTCTTGTTGTTCTAACTGAATGCATTGCTGCTGTTTGGACACTCAACTCATTGTATGTATGTCTGCATATCACGCCGAAACTGTATTTGTTTTCGTTGATGAAGCTAGATTTGCTACTACTTAGTCTACTTACTGCCGCTGCGGCTGCGGCTGCCGCCTCTGTTGCTGATTGCAAGTATTTGTTTCTGTTGCTATTTATTTCTGTTCAGTTACATTTTTCTTGTTTACGTTCTACGCATTTGGCGTAGATATTAAAAGGAAGTAGATTTGCTAAGCGATAATTGCGGATTGCGCTGGAGCAGTGGCGGGTGAGAGTGATCCGTAATGGGTTGAGCACACATACATAGATAAAACGGTTAATGCGTGGATGTGTAGCAAGCAGTCGTTCACGTATTTATGTACGCGCGTGGACCAGCAATTGTCCGTTGGCGAAACTTTTAATTGTTGTTTACGTGTGAAAAAAATGCAAACAATGAAAAGGATAATGAATGCCGTAACACTGAAAAAAGGTGCGAAAAATGAATGAGCTGGAGTAAAAAAAAATCATAGCAAATATACATTTATATATTATATATATATGTGAATGGTAGTAGAGAAAAAGGTGTAGAGAAGTTGTATTTTATTTTTATTAATGCAGGCAAACAAATTTATACTTTTATTATACATTTACATACATATATGCTTTTTACATTTATATATTATATTGAGTAAATTTGGCTGTAGGAATGTTCGAGAAATGGTACCACAAAGAGTATTAACTTGTGAGGTGTATCCCTCTTAAGCTTTACCGCAATTACGCTTACAAAAAATGTAGCGGATTAGAAGCGTTTCGCAAGAAGAGTGACGTAATACCCAGAGTTTTATGTGAAAGGAATTTGTTGGCTATAAATTATCTATGAGAAATCTAACACTTAAAGCATTCTTTTAAAAATTTTCGGAATATTTCGTAGAAATTTTTTTTTTTAGAAGAGCTCATATTAATCGCACGTCGCAGCTATAACTGTAATGCATCACAAATCCTCCGCTTTGATGTGGTTAAAAAAGGCACACACTTGATTCTTTATCCTCAGATATTTATGCAACTTACATGCGTGGAGTAAGAAGGAACCATTGATCCGAGCTCAAAATACCAGTTTCAAGTGGAAGTATTTTATGGAAATACGATCTGAGATTGAGTTTTCCTAAGTTCCGCGGTGATGGGGAAGTGGCTTGTGGCTACCATATCAATACACGCCGTGTTAAAGAAGGTAATAGGATCTTATATAGTTAAGTGCTAAGTCGCAACCACAAAGATACTATCCACGGCAAGAGCACGATAGTGACAGCTCTGGTGGCATTTTGGCACTTTTTTTTACGTCGAGTAGTCTTGCTTCTGGAAATATAGCTATTCTTGCAGAACTAATTTTCCGTGCGAAACCTTAGATTACGGTTAAAAGAGAGGGAGCTTTAGTGAGGCCACTCCGACATGCTCGGTTTAAGGGTTCAGCAAAGTCTTATTACATTATCTGTTCACTTGCAGTGTCTGACAAATGGATCTAGTAGTAAACGAAGACAAAATGAAACATTTCTGTCGTCAACCAAACAGTCGGAGTTGACAGTCATTAATGTGAAGTTACAGAAAATTTTGTCTATCTTGGAATATGATAATATCAGCACTGAAACTCAACGCAAAATCACTGTTGCCAACATCTGTTACGTTGTACAGGGTAGGCACCCGAAAATAAAAGGGCTCACTTGACAAGCGAAGAACAAACTCTATATAATAATGTTCATTCCTGCTCAACTTAAGGTTGCAAGCCCATAGAGCTCTTGAGACGATGTGCGTTGTCCTTCGCAAAGGCGAACCCATCCAGTTTTCAATGTTTCGAATTTCAAAAGAGGAGGAAAATAAAAAGAAGAAAAAAATTTGACTTGGCTTGGCCTGGATTTTATACCGAACGGCAAAAATGAGAATAAAATTGTCATATAATAATTAATAATTGGCAATAAACCCGTAAGCAAAGAACATACACTACTGATTTTCAGCATTACCCGGTTACCGAAAATGGACAATAAACTTCCCGCTCATTCAAAAAATAATATAAGAATATTTTTCTTCACGCTCAGTAAATATTTGGTTTTCTTACCATATCGTAGTCCATACAAAATTTGTACAAAATAAACAATGCACCACTTCGTTGTTGTATCAGGCATACAAATTGTCTATTCACACTCTACTCAATAAAGAGATCGCATATTTTAATTTCATATAAAACACAAGAGCAAAACACATGCCCATACATACATAACTAATTGCAAACAAACCAACAAAGAGGGAAAAGCGACATAGTAGCACAAAGTATGAAAATGAAATTTAACTTATATTATTAGTCATGTTGCACGTGTTGCAATTAAGCCGTTGCGACACATAATTGCACAAGCACAATGAGAAAATCATAATAAGAACAGAATTCTAGTCGGAACAATGAACGCGCATAACTGGTAACAAACAACAATGTCTTAAAATACAATAAAGAATAAAACTTAAGGCATTATTTTCCTCTTCTTTTTTTTCTATTCTTTTTAGTTTTAACAAAGTTCTGCGGCAGCAAAAAGCAGTGTTGCATGCGCAAATGCTTCAGAATCAGTGAAAGTTTTGATGCGTTTGGCGCTAAGAAATTATGTTGATACACACGCATATATATAAA